GATTTAGGCGGTCTAGGGATTGTGAAGCTGGCTTTCTTCAAGCTTGCCGTAAGCGCGGTAGCTAGATTCGACTTCCAATCATGAGTATACTTCCTTGGACTTGCTAGCTTCAGCAACATGAAGTACTCACGTTTGGCTGCGGCGATGGCAGTAATTCTTGCAAGTTGGTCCCTCAGGTTTTGATCAGGCCCACCATCTCAGAATGCAACCACAAGATGTATATGAGGTTTTGGACCCAGAAAGATGGAGCAGAGGCTGCACTTCCTGGAGGTGTTTTCAGGACTCGAGCTTATCGACGGTTTGTAAATAGCTATAATCCCTAAACGCTAATCCCGAACCCTAAGCCCCAAATGCTTATCAGGCGCCCACGTACTATGTTCTGGAGTTCTGCACGAGGGCTACTTAGCACATGCCCTGGATGCAACTTGGAGAAACAACAATATGGGAAGAGTGCGTGTACCTTTGGAAGTGTGAAAGATTTCTCCTAGTGACTTTATAAGTGGCAGCTCAGATCGCATACTCACGGAAGATGGACGTGTTAACGTCGTTCGGAATGATGCTTCTGCTGTACAACGAATCTTGGCCTTGTTCAGCAGTTTGGTTGCTACTCGTCTATCCAGCTTGCTGGGTCTCATGGTGCACACACAACTGGGTAAGGCTCGTAGACTCGTCTGGGGCGGGGTGGCATGGTATGCCATCCCGTGCAATACGTGGATCTATCTGAAGCTTGGCTTGGTACCTTCTCATCTGAGTTTGATTGTTGCGTGCGATTTGACAAGCCGGCTGTATTTTTGTACAACATTAAGGAGCAGAGGCTCAACTGGTCGCCGCCGGCTGAACATAAAAGGTGAGCCACTGATCTGTTGTATTCATGTTGTTCTCTACGCATACCATATGTGATGCGAGGCAGCAAATTTCACAAGACCGTTCGAATGGCGAACCGGCTGGCAAGGCGAATCAGCTACCTGCAGCCCAGCTTGCAAGAATCCGAGATGCGTCCATCCATTCGGCATGGATACCTTAATGTCTCATGCTTTAATCTGAGGCTGGAGTATCATCATACGGCGGGACATTGTTACATACTTGAGAATCCCGTGAACAGCCTGTTATTCAATTTGCCGGCCATTCGGGTATCTAGGCCAAGCAAGAGAGGTTTTTTTTTTGTGCGCCTGCTTGAAATGTGTGTGCTTGTTGCCTGACTTAGTCACGCCTGCGTGCACACCGTGCTCGGGGCCTGAACATATGGCTGGGGGCTCTAGGCTCGCCAACTGCCAAATGTGTTGCTAGGCTAGCAATGTACGTTGTTTACAAATGCTTGGGTGATTGCTGATACTTCTTGGTCTAACAGTGTTTGGAGCAACCTAGGTCACACTTTGGGGGACGGCGCCTTTTCTGAAAGACCTCCATGTCCATATGGACTCCTCCAGGAGGCCTGCACCCTGCCCTGCCCACCCTCCCGGCTAAGTTGAACCTTGTACGCATACCCAAAGATTGACCACTATCCTTGGCCAGGAACCAACTCAAGCGTATCCAGAGCTTCCTCAAATTGGACGTGTGTAAGCACTACGAAGACGCCACGGGGCGGAAGCGGACTGTGGCTGGGATGATCTAGAAGAATTCGGGTTGATATTCAGGAATATATGGGGGCCTCGATCTGCTGCTTCTAACAAAAGGTTTTGGAGCTGTGCATCCATTTAGACTATGGAGCCTTCATATAGATCTCACGAACGAATAGGTTTGGAGGTAGATACACATGTACAAAAGCACATATCTATATATATACTGACTACAAGTACAAAGGGGAAGGGCTTCTATCCATTTTTGACACGCCCGAAAGATCTATGCAAGTCATGATGCAGGCGGGTGGCAAAGACTTACGGGCCACTGGCGTTTACCCCGGCGGCTTGGGCCTCAAGGCGCTGAACTCCAGGGATGCAATTGAGATTCTCAGCAGGGTTGTATAATTGTCTTTGCGCAGGTGGGGGAAGCGCTTGGTAAGCACTTGCGCAACCTACCTCTGGCTCCTGCAACGGCTGAATCTGACATGAAGTTTGTTGACACATCTGATTGTGATGAGAGCGACTCGGGTCTTGAAGACCTGTGGCATGGGGATATTGCCTCATCAGCTGATAAATAAAGTCAGCTGCTCCATTTGAAGCTGGGCGGGGGTCTACAAACAAGATCCCCACATTGTGTGTCGGAAGGTTGCTAACATCCTTGCTGGTGATTGAAACATGATCAATGGCTGCCTATATAAGGGATTTGTTGCTGGGCCTCAAGACAAGCAGGGGTGTTTGCTTCTTCTCGGCGGGTTACATACAGCACGCAAGCTGTGCTGTGATGCGAAGCTCGGGGGGCAATGCAAAATTTCGCAATCAGGAGGGGACCGTGTATCACCGTGTATCCCCGTGTATTCGGCCCTTAATAAGGGCCTAATACCGTGTACCACCGTGTACCGCCCTTATTCAAAATGACAAATCTCCATGCATGATTCCTGATCAAGGCTTTGCCATAGTATAGGCGCCTACAAGTAGGGTTTGAAAGTTTGAGCAGCCATGGCTGCCAAAGCACATGGAAAGACTGCCAAGGCTCTTGTGAAGTGCGACGGCTCAGCAGCTGTCAGTACTCAGCCAGAGCCAGCGCCTGCAACAGCCGGCAAGGGCAAGGGTAAGGAGGCTTTTGGGTGTGAGGAAGGTTCCTCCAACTTTGCTGCTGGCAAAGGCGCCAGCAAGGGCAAAGAAGCGAACGCGGCCGCGGCAGCAGCGAGCCCGCCGGACAGCGCCTGTGCTCAGAAGGGCAAGGGCAAGGGCAAGGTAAAGGGTAAGGGGAAGGGGAGGCTTACTGAGGAGGCGAAAGGAAATTCCGTGGAAGCCCCTAGCCCTGGAACGTCCTGCGATAAAGGCAAGTCTGGAAAAGGAAAGCTAGCTACTGCGGAAGCAAAGGAGCCCGATTCCAGCAAGGGATCATTCAAGGGGAAAGCGCCCAAAAGAGCTGCAAAAGGAAAAGGAGGCGAGGCCCATGCAAAAGGAAGCAACCTTGACGCCAATGGAGTGCAAGGCAAGGGTGCCAATAAGGGATGTGCAAAAGGCAAGAAAGGAAACTGCGACAGCAGTGATCCCAATGCAGCCGCCAATGCTAGCATTCTGCCAGGAAAGGGCAGCGGCAAGGAACCCCACACAGCCACCGGCACTCCCCCGGACCAAGCAAGCGCCATGAAATCCAGAGGATCCACCAAAGGAAAGGGTAACGGCGCTGACCCCAGCACAGCAACTGACGCTCCCCCATCGGATGCAAGCAACGTGGCATCCAAAGCGTCGCCCAAAGGAAAGGATAAGTCCAAGCGCTCAATGAAAGGAAAGGGTGGCATGAAGCACAACACCGAGCCCGCTGACGCTGACAGTGGGAAAGGATCGGCCAAAGGAAAGGGCAAGAATGGACTGCCAGGCAACCCCAAAGGAAAAGGAGGCAAGCCAGATTCCAATGGATCACCCGGCAATACCAAAGGGAAAGGAGTCAGCCCGTGCACCGATGGAACGCCAAACAACTCCAAAGGGAAAGGAGTCAGCCCGTGCGCCGATGGAACGCCAAACAGCTCCAAAGGGAAAGGAGGCAAGCCAAATTCCGATGGATCACCCGGCAATACCAAAGGGAAAGGAGTCAGCCTGTGCGCCGATGGAACGCCAAACAGCTCCAAAGGGAAAGGAGGCAAGCCAAATTCCGATGGACCACCCGGCAATACCAAAGAGAAAGGAGTCAGCCCGTGCGCCGCAGCCCAGATGCCAAAGCATGGCACCAGAACTCAACCAAGGTCACCAGCCCAGATTCTACCTGTTCTACACGGACCAGCAGCGGCAAAGGAGCCTGCGCCCACTCAGACCCGCCAACCTCCCCAACCCATAGCTTGGAAGCAGGTCAGGGCTCCAGCAAAGGATCCAGCCTAAAAGGCAAGGGAGCTAAGGGCAAGCAAGACATGGCAGCGTGGACCCCTCCACAAAAGGGTCAGAATGAAAAGGGGGGGCGTGGGATGAAGCGCTTGGCGCCTGAAACTGTGGGGGATGATGAGGATGAGTGGCCCAAAGATGTGAGGAGAAGGTGCTCCTTCGAATCCTCTATGTCAGGAGCTTTCCTTAACCTAAACCTAAACCCTTAATCCCTAAGCCTATATAGCATTTCAGAATTCTAGTTAGAAGGTGTAGTGCTTTTCCCAAAATGACTCTATATCCCTGTCCCATGCAGGAGATGCCTCCTCATCGTCACCACGCTCGAATGGGAACCTTGGATGATCAATGTGAGAATAGGATTTAGGGTTTAAGGCTTGCCGGGCTTTGACGTTGAGGTCCGATCAAGGGTTTAAGGTTGAGGGTTTAGGGTTTCGTTTTTCTCGGCCATGAGCATGTTCCGCTTCTGCACATCTAATCCTATAAACCCTGAACTTCATAAACCCTAGCACCCCAAAATACGAATACCCCAGGGCGCTGGTGCGCACGGATACGGGCATCTCAAATCAAAGTGATGGAACTGGTGCTATTGAAATGGCGCCTTTGGCCAAATCCTTCACTTTCAATGGATCCCCAATGGCCGTGACTTGGCTGATAGGGTTTAGGGTTCAAGGGTTTAGGGTTTAAGGGTTTAAGGCTGAAGGATTTAAGGGTAAAGGGTTAAGGGTTTATGCAGTAGCAGTCACATGCAGCTCAGATCTCATGCAGCCATGGTTGTGAAGTGCAGGTGACAGCTTAAGGGTTTAGGGATTTAAGAGTTCTGGGCTCACATAGATAGCAGTCTCCCACATGGCTCAAATCTAATGCTGCCACGCTTGTATATCCCAGGTGAGGAAGCTATCCCCGGAGGAGATCGCCAGAATCGAAGAGACCTGGTTGCAATCATCCCATATATGTTATATTCTTCGGTCTTGTTTCTTGGTGCTATATGAGGCTCTCAGTGGTCCTGAAGACATACCGTTGGCGGAGCGTAAGAGACTAAACGAGGGTCTCCGACGTCGGATGCAGAATCCGACAGGCCTGTATATGTTAGCGAATGCATAGTATGTGGGATTCATGATTGGGTCTGATCTGTTGTCAATGGGAGCTGGCTGCCAGGTCTTCGCAAAGGCTTGGTGGCTCAATGGAAGGCAGCACAAGGAACTATGGAGAAGTGCGACCCCTGGATCCAGCAAATTTCTGAGAACCCCTGTAACCTGGGCATCCGTAATATTTGCAAGATATTTGCGTAACCAAGGTTTGCCTTTCTGAAGGCATTCCTTCTTGATCGGGAGATGGCATCAATTGAGATCCAGCCATACTATGAGGAGCTACTTGGATTCAATGGTTTTTGGGAATCCAATTGGGTAATGGGGTCTGCTATACGACTTGCTCAGGCTTTCGGAAGACAAAACCAAGGAGAAGTACTCCGAGCTACCATTGTGCCGGATTCGAGAACAATATGAGCACCTCCCTGGCGGGAAGCAGTACGTTGCCGACCTGATTGCCAGTAGCCTCCTCAATTGTTTCCTTGTTAACCTTTCCTATTGCAATCAGTGCCCAATTGGCATAGGTCAAAAAGGCAAGAAGCATCCACAATCCAACGACGATGAGATGAAGTTATATAAAGTATTTGTGGGTGTGGATACCACGAGCTACTTGGCTTCACTTCTAGATTCTGCAACAGTGGCTTTCAGATTATACGACTAGTCTTCCATAGCCAAGATGCAAACATCAACCGCGTCGGCTGCAAGACGACAGCCACAGCGGAGCCCACCAGGAACCGCGCGGAGCGGGCGGCCATTTGCGAAGCCTTGGAATCCAAGGTAGCCGGAATGGGGAGATGTGCACTAGCAGGTGAAGGAAAGAAAACGCCGAAGCAGCCCAAGAAGGATTCATTATAACACAGGGTTTGATTAGGGTTCTAGGGTCTTAGTTCTAGGGTTTTAGGGTTTGAGGATTGTATTCGTCATGTTTTTTTTTTGTGCCAGGAGCTGACGCCCGAAGAGAAGGATAAGCGCGATTTCAATCGAGACTTGGCCGCGTCGGCGCCCAAGGGGGAATCGGATCTGTGTGTGAGCGTGCGTGCGGAAGATAGTCCCATAATGTGCTTACTAAGGGTTTCGCAGCTTTCCAACAAAGCAACTTGTGTGGCTTCGGGCCTTGGAGCCTGTGGAGTTCTGAACCAGGAGGCCATCCACTGTACATATGCATTTCCTCCGCTGGCTGGGTGGATTTCTTTTGCATGTTGTTGTCGCACGGACGCAGGCGAACATTACGAAGCTGGGGGTCATTGGTGCTGGGTGCGCGGAGATCCACGGAAGGCCTTGAATCACAACCCCTGCGCACAGTGCAAGAAGCATATCACAGCCCTGGCAGGATCCAGAAGATGGTCTTTGCCTCAACCCCTTTCTGGGAGTGCAAGGCTGCTCTCGATGCAGAGTATACGACTCTGGAGGAAGATCTGTTGAGTTTAGGGTGTAAGGTTTATGGTTTATAGGATTTAGGGTTGAGGGTTTAGGGTAGCTTAGATTTGGCTTGGCCCAACTCCCCTCAACCCACTTGCGCATGTCAGGAGTATCAGACGGAGGTCACGCAGGCTGAGAATATCATGACTGGTCATCTCCGGCGCTCCTTGTCTTATAGAAGAGCACCTGCAATTAATGGACTCCATACCCTGTAAATAAAACCCTCCAACACCGAAACCCTGCAACTAAGAAACCATTCAAACCACAACATAACCTACCACACCTTCTTCAATACACGCGGAATCTAAGGAGTTGCTGCTCTCAAGCGCAAGCAAGAAAAGGAGGAAGCAAAGAAGAAGAAGGATGAACAGCAGGATGGTGAGGAGGAAGATTATCATGGTCCGGATGCTCAGGATGCTGAAAGGTTTCCTGACGAAGAGGAGCTCGACGGAGCCCCATGGGAGGATGAGCAGCATGTCGAGGAGCCGCCTGCCAAAGCCCGCAGGTGCTGAAACACTACTTGCTAGATCCTTATAATTGGGGAGTGCAGCGGGAGCGCAAGCAATCTTCATTGACCACCTATACCCTAGCTTGATACAATGGAGGATGCGCGTCCAAGCTGCCTAGTGGATATCACGATGATCCTTCATGAGATCATGCTGTCCAGTGTTCCGGGGTTTCACATGAAGTGAAGAGCAGCGGGGATTGGAAAACAATTGCATGCTCTCATGTCCCATCCGTTGCAGTGCCTTCGCATCAATCACCGAAGCAGCACATGCATCCATGTGCCTTTGCTGGAAGATTTCGTTGTTCACTTCTCCAAGTTCTAGACTTGTGTCAGCCACCTATGGGGTCCCGCAATCTCAACAAATCAGATTGAATCCTTCTAACTTATAAAAAAAAGTGTTGGCATGATTCTTTCCTATGCTACAGATTTATCTCAAACCCTTATAAGGTGTTATACCCCGGAATCATCTAATTAGGATCAATTAGGTATGCCAGACCTCAACAAGAGTAGATTTTGATCTATCGCGTGCAATGCTTCTGGATGGCTGGCTCTACCTGGCTGCCTGAGATGTGGAAAGATGTGTGACGGCATCGTGGGATAACATGCCTTTCATGGCATGTCTTCTTCTGGAGACGCTAGCTGGCTGCCAAAGTTCATCAAAGATACTTGTGATCATGCTTTGGAGCTGCTGGCTTCTGGGAAGGCAGGAACCTGAGCAATCGCTTTTTTGTCAATTGAATTTCCAGCCAACTTGCATGAACAGGTCCCATTATCGGAATTAGCGAAAGATCTGGAAAGGCTCTACTCGGTCCCACATGCGATGGTACCGTTCCTCGGCCTGCATGATCAGACCCCAGAGAATGCAATCCACCCCCATGGCCCAAAAAATGTGAGGCCTGATCTACTTGAACTGGCCGTGATGTTCCGCAACAATTCTTCGAGTGCAAGATGGGGCATGATGCGAGAACTCCAACGTTGGTTTTACAAACAAGATTGGAGTAAATATTTGCCAAGAACCTTTCCGAAACCTGACTGCGCTTGGGTGCTTACATTTGAGGTTTGGGTACGCTGCTGTCCATTGCTACAATCATGCTGTATGATTTTAATTTCACCTGAGGATACAGCTTCTGGCAGTCTGGCCCCTACAGTCTGCAACCAATAGATAGGGTGTTGCAAACACATTGCTAGATTATAGAAATTGAGGTCAATGAAGATTCACATGGCAATACCGAGCGTCCGGTGAAGCATCATATGTTATTGCCGCATGAAATTGTGGGGGCCCTCTACGACTCTGGCAAGTGGGATCTGGTTTATCCGAATCCTGACGAAGCTGCTTGCTGGATGCTATCTGAAACTGTTGATTTGCTGATGTAGGTGATTTGCAACCATTCTTGCAAACAAGGTTCGTGAATATTGGATGCAGCAGGACCAGCAGTGGACAACGCAGCATCCCATCATGAAAGCGGCTGGGCTTCCAAGCTTTGGCTCAAATTTGGCTACGTAGATTTACTGAGGATGTGGAAGATTGGGCTTTATGCGTGCCCTTCCGATTCTACGGGGACGGTGCGGAGTTTTCACGATCCTATAGCTGGCAAGTATGCACCTCTTTCTTGAGATCTGAATCCCTACATCCTACACCCTTTACAAAGCCGAAACCCTAAAGCCTGAACTTTAAACTTCCTCAGCTAGGCCCCTTCCATTGTCATCTCCATGTCAACTTAGGAAGACAGAAGTTCGAAGTGCTCACGATGATAGCTCCACTTGGCACTGGGTCTACGATGGAATCGAGGTTCTTGTTGTCTTGCGTGAATATGATGTACCATGCTGAGCCATCTCGAACAAAGATCTTGACAGTCATCAAATGGTCTTTCGAAGCCCTCAGCAACTTGGATCTTTCGCTTGTTTTGCTGATTCAAACTTTTTTGGCTAAGGGTTGAAAGGTTCTAAGGGTAATCAGATTATGAGGGCAATATTTTGGTATATGGAAATGTCTAAAGAATCCATTCCCAGGCACTGGGTTTTACCCGTTCATGGATCCATGGAACAATCCCTTTACGCGCACATACTTCCCTGACCGCTTGGCGCTTGCGGGAAAGCGAATTTGTGGGCCCTACATTGGGATATTTGACGGCATCCAAGCAGACCTCGAGTTTATCAAAAAGATATTCCGCTTGCAACGTTTCTTGTCTCTTCGGATCATTTTTTTTACCCTAATATTCTTTCATATTCGAAACATTGGACATGCGAACCGCTTCATTTTCCTCGAGTATAATTACCTGATCAGGCGATTACTCGCGCAAGAAGGTCTGTTTCTACTGCCAGGCCCGATCGAAATCTGGGAATAATTTCGGGTTTAGGGTTACGCTCTAGCGCGCAAAGTGCAAAACTATAAGAACCAACCCCCTTAATCCTCAACCCTAAACCTTAAACCCAAACCCCAAACCCTAAACCCCCAACCTTGCGTGCAGGCGATCCAATGGATCTATGAGCATGGCGATCCGGATGGCTTGCCAAATGACCCCCGCCTCTTGTACACTTGCTTTGGGCCAGACGCGTTGCACAGATCGACACTCATTGCTGATGCCGACGAGTTCCGGGCTGTGCATGGCGAGACACCGCTGACCCTCATTGCTGGGTTTTGCCCGTGGCGTATCGATCCGGACGTGATGCATCTTGTTCACCTCGCTGTGATGCCGGACGTGATTGTTTCATGCCTATGTGATCTTTCTGACGGTGCCTCGCGCGAGCACGATTTGGCCAGTTTATGGGAATCGTACAAAGCGTGGTGTGATGAGCAAGGCCTGACCCTAAAAGCCTTAAAGCCCTATATACCATGAAGACCCCAAAACCCTATAAGCCCTATAGTACCACCCCTATATACCATATAAGCCCTAAACCTTATACATAAAAGCCTTACATTTTCTACAGCAATTCCCTGGAGGAGTCCAGGATAGAGCCGTTCGCAAACTCTTCACTGTCTCGATGCTCAAGCCTTCATCCCGAGAATATGTCACGATCAGTCAGAAGGTCTTAAATGCGACTGGGGCAAGGTACTTTCTTTTCTGGCTATCGACCCTCCTCACCCAACTTGCAACTGCGAGCCCTGGGAACCTGTTTTACGAGCTGCTCCGCTGTTTCATAAGGTGCAACACTAGATTTTCTTGGGTTCAGGGTTTAGGGTCTATGGGCTTATACAGGGTAAGAGTTTTATAGGGGATATATAAAGTCAATTTTTTCGATGTTTTCGCGAATGTGTTTTTCACTCAGGCTTCGTGCTGGCGTGTGTGCTGCACTTTGCAGGCAGGAGGTGCTGATGCTGGAGCACGCGCGTCTACTACCAAGTGAAGCGATCAGGGAGCTGCAGCATGCATACCTCGTCTTTCGGGCTGGGTACAATAGACTGGCGGCAGCTGCGCTGGAGTCGGGGGTTTGCCGGTGGGCAATCCGCCCCAAGCAGCACTATCTGGAGCACGTTTACTACGATACCGTCCCGCTTAATGGACGATACCTGTCCAACTATGTTAATGAGGATGGGGTCCGGAGGATAAAGGCCATAGCGGCTGGCTCGCACGCAGGCTACCTCTCCCAGCATGTCAGCTTTAAGTACTCACTTCAGTTTTGCTTACGCTGGCGGTAAAAGTGTGGTGCGCGCAGCCTGTCCCAACACTGAACACCCAAAACTTCTAACCCTGCAAGCCCGTAATCCCTATAATCCTTGTATAACCCTGAGCCCT